TTGTTATATTTCATTATAATGATGAATTTAAAAATCCGCCATAAGGTACCCTTTTGTCAATTATGGTCACAATTAATAATAATAATAATAATAAATTAATAATAATAATAAATTAATAATAATAATAATAATAAATTAATAATAATAATAATAATAATAATAAATTAATAATAATAATAATAATAAATTAATAATAATAATAATAATAAATTAATAATAATAATAATAATAATAAATTAATAATAATAATAATAATAAATTAATAATAATAATAATAATAAATTAATGATAATAATCTTACTCGAGTCTTTTCTTAGCTTCAGCAGCCTTTTGCTCGTTAATTTTCTTTTTTCTCTCAATTTCTCTCTTGGCTAAAGTTTTCTAATTACAAGAATGCGGCCGTAAAATTATTTCTTTCTACTTGAATACTGACCCGGTACTCAATAACTCTTTTGTCTCTTTTGCGCACATAGGCCACGAGTTGCTATGGAAACAGATCAATGCATGTACCATAAATATTCTAATTACCCGGACGGTCTCATTCCTTTTCTTCTTTGCAGCATCTCTTATCTTCTTATTATCTTTTTCCATCAATTTCTCGACCTTTCGATTCGCTGCCTATGTTACGCCATGGCAACGGTAACCATAGCAACAGTAACCATAGCAACACTAACCTGAGTCCTGTCATACTTGTTGAGCCAGTGGTATGGACGCTGGGTAGAAAAACTTTGCCAATGAGCATAAAATGGATGTACCACCTTCAAAAATAATTAATAACTATTATAAGAAATAGGCAAAAAGTCTTTACCTCTTCATAATTGCTTGTTGATTGCCCTATAAAATTTATTGGGTAACCCATTAAAATTATAATATAATGCTGATTACCAAAAGGAGGGAGATAGAGTAGGCTCTCCTCATCTGAAAACTGGCACTCCTCCTGGACTATGAGGGCAAAAAGGTTGCCATAGATACTGTAAAAACCCTGTGGAGAAAGGAATACTATTCATATATGTACATCAGGGTTTGCTACAAAAATTTCCAAATGCCATGTACTGTAGTGTAATGTAGTGCTTGTTAGCTCATGAAGCTCATGCTGTTTAACTCACTTAGCATGCTTTGTGGGAAACCCTGATATAGATTATGCATGTTTGGGTAACGAAAGGCTTAGATTTATTAATAGTTAGCCCATAAAATTTATATAGTACATAATAATATTTCATACATTTG